AAAGAAGGAAATATACAGAAAACAAAGCACACACATGCATGTGCATACACACACCTGCTCTTCCTTACTCCATCCTGACAGCCATTTATATTCCAACAAGAAAAGTCCAGAAAGAGATAAGCTACAGCCTCCCAATTTTACCAGAGAGAAATAAAGGGATCAATTCCACTGCAGACAACTCTTTCAAGAACCTTAAAAGTCAGTAAGAAAAGAAAGGGATTTTCATTCATTCTTTTATTCATTCAACACATTTGTATTTCATGCCTGCCAGATCTAGGCCCGGTACTAGCAAGTGAAGATACAGATAAAATATCCTTGTTCCTGCCCTTGGGATGCTGGCAGTTAACTGGGCAGCCAAGAGAAAGAACTTACAAGGGATAGAGTTTGGGTATATAGTGAAGAAGAGGGAAGAGGAGGATAAGGAAAGAGTTAATGCCAAGACCTTTCTAGGAGTAACAAGCAAAAACATGAGAAATTTTATCATTTTCTTCCCTGAGGGATCTTCCCACATTCTTCCTATCTTGATGGTTCTCAAAGGGTGAACCCAAAGACAGAAGCTTCAGCATTACCTGACAACTTGTAAGAAACAGAAATTTTCGGTTCCTACATCAGAACTACTAAACCAGAGGTACTCTGTGTTGTAACAAGCCCCCAAATAATTTTGATGTGTGTGAAGTTTGAGAACTTTACTAGACCTTTACATTGTACTAGGTAAATCAGCCAAATTGGATGAATGAAAGACTATGTGCTCAAACAGTTAAGAACAAGTCTTGTCTAGTGATTTGCTATGTAAATGTACTAGTCTAAAAAATAATCTTTTGTCAGTAATGTACTAATCTGTATTTTGAAATTTTTTATTTTATTCACCTTTGGAGAATGGAATGGCAATCAACTCAAGTATTATTGCCTGGAGAATCCCATGGACAGAGGAGCCTGGCCAGCTACAGTCCATAGAGTCACACAGAGTCGGACACGAAGTGACTTAGCATGTTTGGAGGTCTATATACCCTGTGTATGTTAAGATCTGCTGCACAAATAAATGACTGATATATCTGAAGTAAATGCTCTGCATTTTACCTGGAGTCTGGTATTTTGAACAGAGGTCAACATAGATGATACTTCAGAAAGCACAGGAGGGTTTTACAAAACAAACTACACAATACACTGATGGAACCACAGGGACTACAGCATTGAAATCTTAGGCTATGTGATATCTGATGTTCAGGGTCCATTTATTTCTCTGCATACCCTCTACAATAAAGCTTTTCTGTTTCATTTTCTCTGTAGTTTGCCACATGTCCACCCTTTGCCCCAACTCTGCTAGACCTTAGAGCTCTAGATTTAATATGTTTAGCTACATTCTCAAAGTGTCTTGACATCTTGCCTCTTTGGTTCAAATTCTCAAGAGAAAGAATTTGATAGTCCCAATGTGGCTCAATAGTTCACTTAATTGTGACCTTGAGTATTATTAAGGCAGACAGGGCACAACAGATGGCTGCGTGTTCACAAAAACTAACAATAGGAATGATTTATTTGGCTCCAGAGAGTTCTATCTAACTTCAGGAGCCTCTGAAGCAACAGTGCATCCTTAATTTTTATGAATCCCCAGTGAATGGTAAATAATTCATAGGAAAAACAATTGATTCTTACAAAAGAATTTTGAAAGAAATCATTTGATTACATATCAAAACCTTAATTATATATACAGCCTTCACCTCAGAAATTTAAATTCTAGGTTTTTATTCTAAGGAAAAAATTAAGATGTGTCCAATAAGAAATAAGCCCAGTGAATTCCCTGGTGGTCCAGTGGTTAAAACTCTGCACTTCCACTGCATGGGGCATAGGTTGGATCCCTGGTCAGGGAACTAAGATCTCGCATGCCCCATGATGGGGCCAACAACAACAAAAACACAAAGAGAGCTGTTCAAACACATATATAAGTGTTCAAACATTTAGCATGCAGTGACGTGCTGCATGCTAAGTCACTTCAGTTGTGTCCAACTCTTGTGACCCCACGGACCATAGTGCACCAGGTTCCTCTGTCCATGGGATTCTCCAGGCAAGAATAGTGGAGTGGGTTGCCATGCCCTCCTCCAGGGGATCTTCCAACCCAGGGATCAAACCCTCTTCTCTTTCGTCTCCTGCTTTAGCATGCTGGCTCTTTACCCCTAGCGCCACCTGGGAAGCCCATACATTCACATATATAAAAGTTCAGTTCAGTTGCCTAGTCGTGTCCAACTCTTTGCGACCCCATGGACTGCAGCCCACTAGGCTTCTCTGTCCATCACCAACTCCCAGAGCTTGCTCAAACTCATGTCCATTGAGTCGGTGATGTCATCCAGCCATCTCATCTCATCCTCTGTCTTCCCTTTCTCCTCCTGCCTTTGATCTTTCCCAGCATCAAGGTATTTTCCTATGTGTCAGTTCTTTGCATCAGGTGGCCAAAGTACAGGAACTTCAGCTTCAGCGTCAGTCCTTCCAATGAAGGACTGATTTCTTTTAGGATTGACTGGTTTGATCTCTTTGCATTCCAACGGACTCTCAAGAGTCTTCTCCATACTTTCAAAACAAAACAAAAAATTTTTTAAAGTGAAAAAGAAATAAGCCCCCCCCCAAAAAAATGTCTGTCACATCATTGTTTTTCATAGAAAAATTATAAAAGGAAACTACCTAAATATCTAAAAACAGACTTTTTTTTATTAATGAAATTCATTTTTACTATTTTTGCTTCTACAAGAAAAAAAATCCATCATGATCTATCTTTGGTGAACTTTTTCTCCTTCATTAAAAAAAAAAAATTAGTAAGCCCTAACATTGTTTTAATACTGGTACAAGGAAATTGCAAGTGGATTGCCTCCCACAGTCTATTTTTCTTGTCTGGATTAGAGTCACCATGATGATCAAGCTGCAGCTGCTAGCTGATCTCTTCCAGCTGTGGATTTGACCTGCTCCTACCAGTTCCTAATTGAATTTCCTTGCTTCCGCTCTTTTTTCCACTTCAGTTGAGGCCTCCCAATCATAAAGTCCAAGTCTGCCTCCTTGCCTCCATCCTCCAGTCCAACAGCAGAAAAATCCATGTCTCTGGCCCTAAAACTTAACTATAATAAATTTTAGACATTTTCTTTAATAATTTAATATAATTTTCAGAATCCTGGCTAAACAGCTAGAGGCTTTGACTTGATATAAAATACTTGAATTTCCATGTCCTCTAATTATCTTAATAGATAAGAGCAACATGAACTGGAATGCTACAAACACAGAGTGAGGTGTATCTTTTCATTAATATAAAGTCCACAAAAGGCTACAGAATTATAGTGTTAGAGCACAAATAGCTGGGATTAATAGAATGATTTTCCCAACGTAGAATCTCCTCCTGTGTCAGAATGCTGGTTAAGGGGACATGGAACTGCAGTTGTGTGATAATTTTTAGTCTATCACTGAGAACGCAACCTTGAAATTTTTTTACTATAAATTCAGGACTTCAGCTGGAGACATGGGTAACAGGCCCAGGTCTGTTAAGATCTGGCAATGAGGTCAATAAAGGTCAAAGCAACTTACATCATATTCAATGACTGCAATTTCTTAATAACCCCCAAAGTCACCACATTTGCCATTAGTCAGTGCCTATAACATGGACATCTGCAATGTTGCTTGGCTGAGAATCTCAGAATTACAGTGAAAGCTAAACTCATTCCTAAAAGTGATATGAAAAGCATGAAGAATACTCTGCAGCTCACTGGTATGGCAAATGGAAGGATCCTATTTTTGTGCTTTCTTAACCCACCATGTTTTCAACCTCAGACACTTGCTGTCCCTAAGTTTCTTCATTAGTAAAAGGAATAAACTTCAAAAGGGTCAATAAATAAGAGTTTAGAGCTGTTCTAGTTGAAGTGGACAAGATAGAAACAGAATTCTCTTAGCCAGTCTAGCCTTTGATTCCCTCCATTTCTTCCCTGTTCCCAAGATGGCTGAAAATAAACTTTGGCAGAACCTAAAACTCAGCAGAACCCACAGTAACAACCAATGGCCTATTTGATTTCTAAGGAACCCTCCCTAGTAAAACAGCACTCACTTTTATGTGACTATGATTTGTTCATAAAAGTAAACATTGATTACCCAACTTAATACGCTGGCACTCATCACTTAGCAGGTGTTCCATGAGTGTTGAGTGAATTGAAATTGTATTTGTTTAATTGATGATCCAGTGAAACTTTCAGAAAAGTAAAGAGTTCCAAGACTTGGCTTACTCATTTTTTAGCAAATAAAAACAGAATCAAATTATAAGCCAATTTAAAAAATAAGGGCACCTTTTATTTATTTTTGGCTCCTGTTGTTAATATTCACTTGGAGCTCCTTATATTTTATTATTCCCATAAGTCACAGAATTTATCTCGCTTTTCACCATATGCCATACATAATGATATCAGAGTGTAAAGTGGCCTTTCCCTTTGGAGACACTCTGAGCTGGTTCTAATCCTAGTTCTAACATCTACTATCTATGGAACTTCAGGCAAATTTTAACCTATACACTTTCTTCATCTAAAAAACAGGTATAGGAAAATAGGGAAGATGGAAAAGTTTTGAGAATTACATAAAATAACACAGTAACTGGCAGCTAATAAGTGCTCCATAAATGACAATTGTGGTTATTGTCATTTTTTTTTAAATGATTTTAAAAGGGGCAGATTACACAGCACATCTTAGAAGCCTATTCCTCTCTTAAGCTGTCATGACGGAGAGATAGTAAAGAGGTAGAGGAAAGATAGCTGCTTTACATCAGGAAAGGGACTAATACTGACTGGTTAATGGCCCAGGGAGAGTTTAACTTGAGCTTTCCACCTCCCAAATAATCATGTGCTTTCCTGCCAGACCAAGTCTTTCCTATAATTTTTTTCTTTAGGGTTTTTTGAAAATTTTATTTTGTTTTAACTTATTGGTTATGCTGGGTCCTCATTGCCGTATGGGATTTTCTCTAGCTGCGGTGAGCAGAGGGTGGGGGGCTACTCTTTATTGTGGTGCATGGGCTTCTCACTGCGGCACATGGGCTTCTCACTGCGGCACATGGGCTTCTCGTTGCGGTGCATGGGCTTCTCACTGCGGTGCATGGGCTTCTCACTGCGGCGCATGGGCTTCTCACTGCGGCGCATGGGCTTCTCGTTGCGGTGCATGGGCTTCTCGTTGCGGTGCATGGGCTTCTCACTGCGGCGCATGGGCTTCTCGTTGCGGTGCATGGGCTTCTCACTGCGGTGCATGGGCTTCTCGTTGCGGTGCATGGGCTTTTCACTGCGGCGCATGGGCTTCTCGTTGCGGCGCATGGGCTTCTCGTTGCGGTGCATGGGCTTCTCGTTGCGGTGCATGGGCTTCTCACTGCGGTGCATGGGCTTCTCGTTGCGGTGCATGGGCTTCTCACTGTGGTGCATGGGCTTCTCGTTGCGGCGCATGGGCTTCTCGTTGCGGCGCATGGGCTTCTCACTGCGGTGCATGGGCTTCTCACTGTGGTGCATGGGCTTCTCGTTGCGGCGCATGGGCTTCTCGTTGCGGCGCATGGGCTTCTCGTTGCGGCGCATGGGCTTCTCACTGTGGTGCATGGGCTTCTCGTTGCGGTGCATGGGCTTCTCACTGCGGCGCATGGGCTTCTCACTGCAGTGCATGGGCTTCTCACTGCGGTGCATGGGCTTCTCGTTGCGGTGCACGGGCTTCTCACTGTGGCGCATGGGCTTCTCGTTGCGGTGCATGGGCTTCTCACTGCGGCGCATGGGCTTCTCGTTGCGGTGCATGGGCTTCTCACTGTGGTGCATGGGCTTCTTGTTGCGGTGCATGGGCTTCTCGTTGCGGTGCATGGGCTTCTCACTGTGGTGCATGGGCTTCTCGTTGCGGTGCATGGGCTTCTCACTGCGCTGCATGGGCTTCTCACTGCGGCGCATGGGCTTCTCACTGCGGCGCATGGGCTTCTCACTGTGGTGCATGGGCTTCTCACTGCGGCGCATGGGCTTCTCACTGCGGTGCATGGGCTTCTCACTGTGGTGCATGGGCTTCTCGTTGCGGCGCATGGGCTTCTCGTTGCGCTGCATGGGCTTCTCACTGCGCTGCATGGGCTTCTCACTGTGGTGCATGGGCTTCTCGTTGCGGTGCATGGGCTTCTCACTGTGGTGCATGGGCTTCTCGTTGCGGTGCATGGGCTTCTCACTGCGGCGCATGGGCTTCTCGTTGTGGTGCATGGGCTTCTCACTGCGGTGCATGGGCTTCTCGTTGCGGTGCACGGGCTTCTCACTGTGGCGCATGGGCTTCTCGTTGCGGTGCATGGGCTTCTCACTGCGGTGCATGGGCTTCTCACTGCGGTGCATGGGCTTCTCGTTGCGGTGCATGGGCTTCTCACTGCGGCGCATGGGCTTCTCGTTGCGGTGCATGGGCTTCTCACTGTGGTGCATGGGCTTCTCACTGTGGTGCATGGGCTTCTCGTTGCGGTGCATGGGCTTCTCGTTGCGGTGCATGGGCTTCTCACTGCGGTGCATGGGCTTCTCACTGCGGTGCATGGGCTTCTCGTTGCGGTGCATGGGCTTCTCACTGTGGTGCATGGGCTTCTCGTTGCGGTGCATGGGCTTCTCACTGTGGTGCATGGGCTTCTCACTGCAGTGCATGGGCTTCTCGTTGCGGTGCATGGGCTTCTCACTGTGGCGCATGGGCTTCTCGTTGCGGTGCATGGGCTTCTCACTGCGGTGCATGGGCTTCTCACTGTGGTGCATGGGCTTCTCGTTGCGGTGCATGGGCTTCTCGTTGCGGTGCATGGGCTTCTCACTGCAGTGCATGGGCTTCTCACTGCGGCGCATGGGCTTCTCACTGCGGTGCATGGGCTTCTCACTGCGGTGCATGGGCTTCTCGTTGCGGTGCATGGGCTTCTCGTTGCGGTGGCTTCTCTTGTTGCCGGCACACAGGCTCCAGGGTGCATGGGCTTCAATAGTTGTGGCTCCAAGGCTCCAACACACAGGCTCAATGGCTGTGGTGCAAGGGCCCAGCCACTCAGCAGCATTTGGGACTCCCCCTGGATCAAGGAACCCACGTCTCCTGCACTGGCAGGCAGACTTTTTACCATGGAGCCACCAGGGAAGCCCCTCTTCAGGGTCTTATTCTACCTTTGAAGGGGAAGTAAAATACTGATCTTAGAACCTTATAGTGAGAAAGCATCTCACAAATTATCTACTTCACCCATGGGAACTTCTCCCTAAAGGGTTTAGCACATAGCTTTTTTTAGCTGTGGTATCTCTCCAAAGGGTTGTGTCTCAGACATCTATTATTTTTGCCCTCCTAGCATTCTTCTGCTTCTGAGAACAATACAGAAGATCCAGAACTTCCCTTTACCCAGAACACAATGATATGGCAACCAAGTCAGCCGTCTCCTGCCACAACCTTCCGCGTGACCACAGCTGATTGATGCGGGGTATGCTTCTCAACCCAGTTCATCAATCTTAGGATTTCAAGACGTGAAGCACCAGGAGTGGTCAGTCTTTCTTTGGCAGCTGTAACTGTTAGATGGAAGGCTTATGAACTATTAACAGCTATGCTCTCTCCTTTCACTGGAAAGCAGAAGCAGTGATTTAAGAAAGCAGCGAAAAGGATAAGGTAGATGTGTAGAGAGGAGCAAATGTTGGGGACAGGGAATTGTGACGGCATCTGAGGCCTTGCTCCTGAAGCAAAGCCATGTTGCTTGGGTCCTGCCGATGGTTTTTATAGATTTCTTTTGAGCTTAATTAAGGTAGTCAGATTACACTGTATCAAGCTACTAAAAGAAAGAAAGTAGAAAGGAAGAAAGACAGAAGGAAAAAGGTGGAGGGATGAAGGAAGGAAGGAAGAAATACACGGTACTCATGTAGGGATTAGGAGGCTAACCTCAGAAATATCACTAGGAATGAATTTTTAAATGGAGATAATCCCATTCCAGGGCAGACAAAAAGTAATGAAACTTCCTGTGCCCAATAAGTCACACGTCAGTGGCTGACTGCTCTGCCTTCTTTAAGTAAGGTGACCAATGCCTCAGTTCACCCCTCGGAAGTCCCAGTGTACTCACACTGTCTGAGAGCACCTCTCAGGTAGCCCCCTCTGTCAGAGCTGAAACTGCCCTGGTCTGAACAATCACGTCTGTGTCGCTTCACTCAGGCTGGATTGGGTGTTGCCAGTGCCCACTTCTGCCATTGCCTTCCCTCTAACTTGACTGCTTTCACTTCTGCTTCTGCCACTATTTTCGTTCTCCACTACCATGTGTTTGATAACGTACTTATAAGTAAGTACAAATGCCAAGAAGTATGGACCGTATGAGGAAGCTTAAAAAAAAAAAAATCCATAAAATGGTTAAATAACAGTACCAAATAGTAAATTAAAGCAATAAGAATAAATGAGGTAGCACATGTAAAACGTATTGAACAATTTGTGGTCGGGGGGAGAGGAACACCATAAGCTCCCAATACAAAGCTAGTGGAGGTGATGGAATTCCAACTGAGCTATTTGAAATTCTAAAATAAGAAGACGCTGTTACAGTGCTGTACTCAATAAGTCAGTGAATTTGGATGACTCAGCAGTGGCCACAGAACTGGAAAAGATCAGTTTTCATTCCAATCCCAAAGAAGGGTAATGCCAAAAATTGTTCAAACTACCACACAATTGCACTCATTTTTGCATGCTAATAAGTTTATGCTCAAAATCCTTCAAGCTAGGTTTCAGTAGTATGTGAACCAAAAACTTCCAGATAGGCAAGTTGGACTTAGAAAAGGCAGAGGAACCAGAGATCCAATTGCCAACACTTGTTGGATCATAGAGGAAGCAAGAAAGTTCCAGAAAAGCATCTACTTCTGCTTCACTGACTACACTAAAGCCTTTGACTATGTGGATCACAACATATTGTGGAAAATTCTTAAAGAAATGGGAATATCAGACCACCTTAGCTGTCTCCTGAGGAATCTGTATGCAGGTTAAAAAATAACAGTTAGAACTAGACATAGAACAGACAGATTCAAAATTGGGAAGAGAGTAAGACAAGGCTGTATGTTGGCACTCTGCTTATTTAACTTATATGCAGAGTACATCATGTGAAATGCCAGGCTGGATGAATCACAGGCTGAAATCAAGATTGCCAAGAGAAATATCAACAATTTCAGATATGCAGGTGATACCACCCTTATGGCAGAAAGTGAAGAGAAACTAAAGAGCCTCTTGATAAAAGTAAAAGAGGAGAATGAAAAAGCCAGCTTAAAACTCAACATTCAAAAAACTAAGATCATGGGGTCCAGTCCCATCACTTCATGGAAAATAAAAGGGGAAAAGTGGAAGCAGCGACAGATTTTATTTTCTTGGGATCCAAACTCAATGTGGACGGTGACTGCAGTCATGAAATTAAGACACTTGCTCCTTGGAAGGAAAGCTATGACAAACCTACATGGTGTATTAAAAAAGCAAAGACATCACTTTGCTGACAAAGGTTTGTACAATAAAAGCTTTGGTTTTTCCTGTAGTCATGTACAGATATGAGAGTTGGACCATAAAGAAGGCTGAGCACCAAAGAAATGATGCTTTCCAATTATGGTGCTGGAGAAGACTCTTGAGAGTCCCTTGGACAGCAAGGAGATCAAACCAGTCATCCCAAAAGAAATTAACCCTGAATATTCATTGGGAGGATTGATGCTGAGGCTGAAGCTCCAATACTTTGGCCACATGATGAGAAGAGCTGACTCATTGGAAAAGACCCTGATGCTGGGATAGATTGAAGGCAAAAGGTTAAGAGGGCAGCAGAAGATGAGCTGGTTAAATAGCATCACTGACTCAATGTACATGAGTTTGAGCAAGCTCCGGGAGTTGGTGAAGGACAGGGAAGCCTGACATGTTGCAGTCCATGGGGTTGCAAAGAGGTGGACAGCACCTAGCGACTGAACAACAGCATTGTCATTGTGCTACTCAATACGATTACCTTGACTTTTCTAGGCCATGCATAAGACTGAAAAGGCATAAAACAGAACAAAATTTAGAATTTATCTCATTTTAGCATTTAATTTAAAAAGAGATATTCCCTGGTACCAGCAATCTGAAACAACTATTATGAATTCTGTTTGAAAAGTGATTTGTCTAATAATCAACTGTAGAATTACCTTCTTTCTGATTTTGGTGCTTCATCAAAGGACAGGCAAGGATGTTATTGTGGACAGAATGGAAAAAAGAAATAGTTTTACTTTGAATGCTGCTAAGTAGTTTGGACTTTTTTTTTTAATGTTGATAAAAGGGTGATAAACAAAGGTACACAAATTGAAACTTGTAAAGTTTCTCTCTTAACATGGTCCTCAGGAAGACAACATTCTTTTCTTTTAAACAAGGACAATTACCAGAAAGGAAGAGAGAAAAGTTCAGAACACATGAGTGTATCCTTAAGTCATGATGTATGCTAAGAAACAAAATCCTAGTCTCCTAGGGTGATAAAAATAACTATTTATTTGTAATACTGTATTATATCTCACAGATTCCTTCCCCTCCTACCAGGTAGGCTCCCATTACACATACTAAGTCACATTAAGTCCTGAGTCATTTCGAAACCTGAGAGTAGGGGGTAGTTATTAATAATAAATAAAAACACCCAGCCTTTCTGCACCAATTTTCCTCCTAGGAACACCAAGTAATCTCTATTATTTCACAACATTCTTTGGAGGAAAATTCAGGTGGGTATTATGACTGCCATTATATGGTTAGAGGAATTACACAAGGAAAGCTGAATAAAAAATGTTGTGGCTAAACAGGGGTTATAACCGCTGTCTTAGTAAAGGGAAAAGGAAGGCTGTTGTGGGAAATATCACTGGTAAAACGGATCATTTAAACAGCTTATTGATATGCTACAGAATGGCCCATGGTACTCTTTTAACACAGAGAATAAAACATGGGACATGGCAATTTCAATTTTGTAAATGTAATTTATGCATATAGGTGTGTGTTACAAAAATCTCATCATACTATACATATTATTTTATAGCCTGTTCTTTCTGTGCAACAGTATATTGTAAATAACTGACCTACATCTGAAGTGAAGGGAAGTGCTCAGTCATGTCCGATTTTTTGCTACCCCATGAACTGTAGCCTACCAGGCTCCTTGGTCCATGGAATTTTCCAGGCAAGAATATTGGAGTGGGTTGCCATTTTCTTCTCCAGGGAATCTTCCTGACCCAGGAATCAAACCCGTGTCTCCCACATTGCAGGCAGACGCTTTACCGTCTGAGTCACAAGAGAAGCCATACATCTACAGTAGATGTAAGCAGACAAACATCTACATCAACAGTTAAAATGGCTGCAAAGTAGTCCACTTATAAATGTCTTAATTTTCTTATTTGGGGAAGCTTTTTTTCCCCCAAAGCCAGGCATGAATATGTCTCTTTGATAAACAAAGAAAGACATCCCTCACAAAAATAAATATAGGTTAAGCCCATCAACAGATGATTACCAGGGACTCCCATGAAAACCTCTGTAAAATTTACATCGTCACATTCATGCACCAATAATTTAAGGAGCAGAATGAGTAACAGCCATCAACTATAATAGTAGGTGGTCAATCACTTTTACAAACTGAGGTAATATTTTCTAGAGTTTCATGTACTTAGATGTATCAAAAATCATAAAAATGTAAATATCCTTTGCCCCAACAGTTTCCCTTCTAGAAATTTAACCTTAGCTTGTAATAGGACAAGTTACAAAGATGTTTGTATGAGGATGTTTATGGCAGTATGTTAATTAACACTAAGGGTAAGCAATCTAGCTAAACATGAAAAAAAAACTGGATTTAAATAAATTAGGATACAGGGACTTCCCTGGTGGTCCAGTGGCTAAGAGTCCAAGCTCCCAACGCAGAGGGCCCAGGTTCAATCCCTGG